ATTTCTATGTTAGCATATACAACCTAGGTACAAGCTATAAGTACTCTGAGGGTAAAATGTAATTATTTTAGTTTTTTGTACCTTAGGACCATTGTATGGAACCTGACATCTAAGTGGTGCTCATTGAAAAAGAAACAGACATGTTAACCAACAAATGAGGAAAACAATGGATAGGACATTTAGTCTATTCTAGTAAGTCTAAACCACAAAGATTTTAAATATGGAAAAGCAAAGCACATTTCTTGATGTAATTTATACTGTCAGAAGAAAAGTAAAATTAAAAGAAAAAAATCAACAGGAGTAGAACATTATGTTGGTTTGTAATCACTGGGTGTGAACTGGCAGAGATGTGGGATGTATGGTCTAGCTGAGGGAAAATGCAAACAAGCAAATCTAGTTCATAAAGAGTAGAACTTACCTCTGTTTCTCCCACCAGACTACTGTGACTCAGGCACCATTTGGATTTTACCGTTTACTCCTGGGGCATAATTGCCCAAGGAAAACACAGAGTAGGAATTCAGTAAACATTTGTTTAATAAGTAGAAAGAGAGGCTTATTATTTTAAGATGCCGCAATAAACATGTACTAACTTTAAAACACCATTTATAAATAGGTGGTTTTATCAGTCATGTAAGCTTATGAGAGGTCTTATAAAAATGATTTTTCTGAAGTCCTTTAGGATCTTGTACCAAAGTATCTTCAAACGAATCATAAATATGAAAAGCCACTAGTATCATTAGGCTATGACTGCATGGTAAGTATTTGACTATCCAACTTATCAGGCTATCTGAAAGCCTGGTAACAAATTCCCACTGAGTAACATTATTGTTAAATAAGTTTTCAAAAAGCTTATTTTACTGGCAAATAAAGGAATAGCACAAACATTTGTGATGTCACAATTGCTTTCCAAAATAATTATGATCAGGGTCCTTGCAGTACACAGTGTATTAGAGAATTCAAGGGAAGGCAACACCACTATTAGTAATAGCTTTTTATTCAGAGTCCTCATTTTCCAGATAGGTCACATTAAACACAGCCATTAAACAATAGTGTTGAGATAAATCCATACAACGTATGCTGCTTTGTTGTTGTCCTTGTTCACCAATCACTTGGTGCAGCTAAGAACCTTATGGAGTGATGGGGCTGACAAATGGGAATAGCCAACCTACGAAACACTGGAGCCAGGAAAGTCAGACTTTATTCAGGTCTCATTCAATCACATTTCGAATCAACACATCTTGATAGCCAAAACTCTCATTTGAATTAATGCTCCGATAAGTGTTGTGTGTTGTCAAAAGAATATAATTAGACAATAATGAGTGGGCATATATTATGCCAAACCTCAGTCTACTTGTTGACCTCAGCAACTTCTACTCCATTAGGCAACAAACAGCTTTTAACCTGGTTCTAATAAAGCATACTGCTCCATCACTACATTGCTTTTTTTTTTCTTTTTTATGGTGTCATTTTTTAAATTGAGCAGTACCTAGATCCTTTAAAGGAAAGTCATGTTTTACAAGATCTCAGCTAATGTAGAAAAACAAAACAAGTCAATTTCCCAACCAGGAATTCAATTAATTTACGGGGTAGTGAGCCAATATTTGCATATTGCCTGCAGTAAGGATTAAGTATGCCAGGTTAAGAAATAACATGAAAGCATTCTTTGAAACTTCATGATGCGTCTCTTTTATGTTTACTTTGGTATAGGTACAACTAACACTGATTCTCACTACTTTTAATTTTGATGAAAAGATCTTTTATCATTAACACATTAACATTGAATGGAAACACTGCTTTGTTACTGGTACATTTTTTAGTTCATCAGTAAACAATTTTTAGAACTGTGACTTTCTTATGAAAAATTCTATAGATTCTTTTTCTGTGCTTGATACAGGTATTTAAGGACCTAAAAGACAAAGTATTTTTTTATTTATTTTGATTGTGTGATTTTTTTGAGGGGCTAGTAATTGGAGCATGTGAATTAAGATAATTTTTCACATTCTGAATTGTGACAAAAACCCCTTGAAATATCACTGCATCACCCCTTAGAGCAAGTTGCTCCCCAAAGGGGTAATTTTGGCATCTCAGAGACTTCCATGGAAGCCAAGCACCAGAGGTCTGTGATAAAGGCAGTTGCCAGCCAAATGAATAAAAGCAAGATTCCCTTCAACTCAACTATAAAAGCTTAGCGTCCTGACTGCTGAATTACCACCAACTGGTAAATAAATAATCACTACTAAATACAGATAATGTGTTAAACAGCTAACGCTAGTAAATCACTGGTGACAGAGAGCCTAAAGGTAATCCCTCACACATTGGCACAACCAATTCTTAAAATCTGATAGTGTTTTAATGTCTTCAGACACCTTTAATAAATTGAACAACTGGTTACTCAGCATTAAGAACATTTTAAAAATGAACCCTACTCTCTTTGTTGATTTCATTTACATACTGCCTTAGATTTTACTACTTGGCTATTGTCTAGTAAGAGAGAGGCAACACTTGGTAAGACTAAATGGAAATCAGTTTTCCATCAAATCGCAGCTATCAAGCTAAATCAACCTGTAGTCTCCTGGCAAAAAATAACATCATATAACAGAGACGACACATTTCAGATACATAAATTGTCCAAAATATAGAGTCAATTAAGTTCCACATGTACAAGATCCTTTCTTTTCTAATTTAAACATTTATGAATAATAAAAACCAAGAGTAGAGCTTTGGAAAGGCTGTTACTAGGAACCAAATAGAGTTCTCAAGAGGATAAGGCTGATGGGAGTCGTCCACTCTTCCCTTTCAAAGCAGTTCTGCAAACGAGGTACAGTCTCAAATCTTGACAGCATTGGACGGAAATATTTTCAGTTGGATTTTTTGAGGTTTAAAATTACAAAACTGAATTCACCTCTGTGTTTGTTTTTGCTTTTGTTTTGATATAAGGATTTTATGACATTTACGCTGTTACTACACTGGCTTGGTGGCCAGGAAAGAAGGCACAGAATTCTCCATCAGTTTGCAAATAATGCATTTTTCTGCTCCAGTGCACAAACAGCCTTTATTTAACTCAGCACCACATATTCTAAGGTATGGGCTGGAAACTGTTTGTCATGAAGCTGTAAAATGCCAAAATTTTTAAACGCTGAAGGAAAATGTCAATCAAGGCATTTTCCCATCTGCTGCTACTTCTGCAAGTGCTAATTTTACTTTTTCCCAATTCCTGAAATTTGAGGTTTCCTAGCCTCATATGTAAGTAAGTTTGAAACTTGCTAAATGTCACAAGGAAAGGTGCAACAAAATGAAGGGATAGAAGGTGTATTGTTCTCAAAGGACACCAATAAAAAGAGGCAGAAGAGCACTGAAAAAAAAAGGCAAACCTTTTGTTAAGACCAAGACCTCTTGTAAAACACTGCACAATGCAAGTAACCAGCGCTGGTACCACACATGCATTAAAGCATTTTGCATGGTTTTGAAATATAATGGGAACACACATTGAACCACTTAGGATACTTTTGAGAACTAATCAACAGTATGATATCTACATAGGCAGAAGCTGCAAGTTATCGAAAAACATGAAGAAGTTTCAGGTATTGGTACAAATGTAATTCTTGTGATTTAGCGTGACTTTAATAAAAGCTTCCACAAAGGACTTGCACATAACAGTGACTGACAGATGTATTTTTTGACCTTTCAGTTAGCTCCATCAGCTCACTCAAACACATTTTGAACAGATTATGTACTGTAGTACTTGGTAGACTATACATTAAACAAGAGACTTTGCTCTGAGGCACTGCTTCCAACACTCCATGGGGAAAAGGAAGCAGGAAAAAACAAAACTCATAGAGTTCGACAGCTACCGAGGCAACACTTGCCATTTACAATATAAGCCCAAATATTTTTGCAACACAACTATATATTAATTTAATAAAATACACAATATAGCTCTTATACACTCAACAATTTGGCTCATATGCACTGAATCTGCAATAAATCAATAAAAATATGTCATTTGATGTAAACACATTTAATCTTCTTACATTTGCACATGTAAATGGTCATGTGATTTGTGTATGTCTAAAACATTTTCACGTTCCTGAGCTATTTTAGTGTCCACAAATGAATAAAACATATCAATCATGTTAATTGTCTCTGAATATCAGCACTCAATGGTAAACTACTTTTCAGAACTTTTCCAGGGCAAATTTAAAACATATCCATTGTTACATATATGTTTGTTGGACACTAAAATGCTAAAGAGGGATTTTAAACCTTTAAATTTTCTTCTCCTTTCATGAAGTGAGTTAGTCTATGTGTGTGCAGGACAAAATGTAATATATCTTTTTACATTTAACTTTCATACGACATGAGGTGTTTTACAAATGACCCAGTTTTTAATTTTTTTCGACTAATGATATGGAATGTTCTCTGTGTTTATATGTGTGGCAGGTAACTTTATACAGAAATGTTTACCACAAATATGTGTTAATGTTTGGTGTAGCTTGGACTACTGCAAGGTCTTATCGGGGCGTTCAGTAGAAGACTGTGGTGACTGCTAGAAATTCTACCACAGATCAAAAATTATGACCCTGCTTTGTATGGGGTTTATAGGTAAACAGTTAAGTCAGCATAAATCATGGAGGACAGTCTTAGAGCGATCAGAAAAAATCTTCCATTCTCACACTGTATACCTTCCTAACAGATTGTCAAAAGGTAACTTGCTTCATCATCCTCTTTTATCTCCTCTCCTTTTTCTTCTCTGTTTGTCTTTCCGCTTTGAGCTTCGTTAATTCTGTCCTAATATAATTCTGGTCAGAACAAAACCATCGTTATCTCTGAAAAAGAAACAGCAGTGAAAAGAACATACTCGTGGGCACTTCAGATGTTCACTAAGAGCCTGAAAGCAGCATCGGTCTTTCTTCATCCCTGTAAAATGGAGTTGTCACCAGGAGGGATCAGTTTTCAATCAAAAGAAGAAACAGGAAGATGCCAATGCCTTTTGTTCTTCTTCACTTCCTCACAGCCACAGGGTCATTTCCCCTGCAGTCCTGCAGAAGCTTGTCGATTTCCCTCACGACCTCCTCTGCATCCACCGACTCTCTGCCCAGATCCTGGCCGGGGTGGTCAAGTTGCTCCAGGACGGTGCCCATCTCGCTGGAATCCCGGCTGGCTCTCGAATGCACGTCTGCGAAGACTCTTGCCATCTGCTCAGAGGCCAGGAAGGGAGGGTCTCTTGGTTGCTTGCTGGGGGACAGATACTGACTGTCAGTGGGCAAGTACTGGCCGCTCGCCTCGGCCAGGGCTCCTGGCTTTGCTTCGCAACCATCCAGGGAGCCTTTTGTGGAAGTGCAAGGCTCGATGCACGCCTTGGTCGGGCTGCTTGATGCTGAAGGGACCTCTTGGAGGAGAGGGCTCAGGGCACGTTTGGCTTTTAAATAAGGTTTCACATTGGCAATGAGAATCGTGTGCTCTCGCTTGTCTTTTCCAAATGTACAAAAAGTCTTTTTCCCAGTGGGATTCACAGTTTCATAAGTCTCGGTCTCAACATTCGCTTCAACTGTGGGTACAAAGAGATTTGTGCGGTAATCTGCATTTTCAGCCTGATTGGTTGCAGGGAACTGTGGCATCCAGCACCTGTCAGAATGACCAAGCACTCGGCATTCATCTGTGCAATTAACACACTCTTCCGGTTCTGCAAAACAAAAGAAAGACAGTAAAGCCAATCACTAGGGTTGCCTTTACATTTCTACCCAGACTGTGATCCGCTCTCCCTGGGTTTGCTTGACCTCTGGTCTCTTAATTAAAAAGGAAAAGAAAACAATAATTAAAACATTTCAGGATGGTTGCATAAACCTGCTGGTTGAGACAATGGTTTTATTTAAGTCTATTCTCTAGATATTAACGAATTCCCATAGCCTGGAAAGAAGTAAAAAGTGGCCATTGGAGAATCATTCTCAGTAGAATAGAACATCACTGTAAACTAATCTCCTGGGGATATCAGTTAGTCTTTGTTCTGTATAATCCATCCTGGAAACAGGGAACTTCAAAAAGGATTACCAGGATTAATTTTTCAAATCAAATAACAGTACAAAAACTGAATTGCAAACTTCCATACCAAGTCCTAAACTGTTTTTTTTTTTTTCATGTTTTATCCCTATTTTGCTTGTAATTGTTATTTTGGTAACAGTCATGAAATAAAACTTTTCCTTTAAAAGCGTACTTTTCCTACTGAGAATAGCAAATAGAATTTTCTATCAAAATGTATTATAAACAAACTTGTCAAAAATGTACATAGTCCTATTGTAGTAGATTTGCAGATGGATCACGTAATCAGGTTTCTTCACTTCAATTTTGTTTGTTTGTTTTGCTTTTGGTGTAAGTAAGTGAAAATGGATTTAGTCAATAGATATAGTTCAGAATGAATGACAAATCTTGATTTCCTAAACAGTAATACTTTCTGGGAGAATTTCACTTCTCTTTCATGATAACATGTAGATAATCTAAATAAACCATTCTTTTAATTACCACTGTTTCAAACATGCTGAACAAGAAAATATGAAAGAAAATTCCTTCACTATGACAACAGTCCATGAACTCAATATTTTAAATTATAACTTTGAACTATATCTTCCCAGTTTTCCCTTTCACCAACAAATGGTTGTCCTCCTTATGTTTAATGATCCTTTTTAAAACAGGGACTTTTTTTCAGGAGAGGATATTTACAATTTAACTCCATGTGAAGGGAATAGAATTCCCTACACATTTGGGAACTCTTGGGATTACCATTTAATTGATGCAAGAGGATCTCTATAATGTATAGTGTCCTATGTGCAAGGGAAAAATCAGCAAATTTAATAGCACTGATAAATTTATACAGCTACATTTAAAAGTCATATACAAAATGTGTTTATATTTAAAACACATAAATAATTCCTTATCCAAAAAGAAAAAAAAAAAACACAACTTAATTCACCTCAAAAAGTTTTAGGATAAAATAATTTTCTATGAAACTAAACTCTTAGAAAGGAGTCAAAATAGTGTTTTGACAGAACAAAAATTCTATGATATTTCATAGCATGTATCATTCACACATGAAATGTTAAAAGGAAGTATCTAGGTGTCTTTTCCCTATTTTAATTGTCTTTCTTAAAATACATTTACCTAGCAGTGAATAGAATATGTTAAGCTTATTATGTAATACAGTCAAGAATGCTGAAATGTAGTCTCAAACTAAACTATCTACTATCTACTCACAAACTCAAATACTGTCTATGATGTGAAAGGTTGTCAGACAGATGGACACAAACAGAAGCAGAGAAGCTAGGCAATTTTCTGAAAACCTCCCTGTGCAGATTTAAAGTAGAGTAGGATTTAAATAACAGGATATTGAAAAAGTTTAATATCAGGTATCTGTTTAACATTATGTATTCTGAAAGTAAATCATTAATATTATACCTGTGTCAGTAAGTTTTAGAAAAAACATATGTATCATTTCACTCAACTAATTTTATTCTTCAAAGATCCAGTAAAAAACTTTACCATCCATTTCACTTGGTAATATTTCTATATCTTTTAGAGTTGAGATTTTTAAAAACTTCATTTACAGCCCATACACTCTCTTTGAAATACATTAATGTTTTATTGTTCAATATTGAATGGCCTCAATTTCAGTAACTTGGAGAGCCCAGCTCTGAATGAATTCAATATGTATTTAAGAAGAGAGTGAACGAGATAGAGTTATGCAGATGTATGAAAGTATAAATCGACCTTGAATTTGAAACCAACATAAACCCTGCAGTTTTACTACTCAACTTCATGACACAACTAAGGGAGAAAATTTCGAGTACTGATTATGACACATTACATGCTGTTCACCTTGGGATTAGACTGTAATTTTGATAGCAGCCACTAACACTAAGGAAACCACAACTCTGTGGTTTCCCCAGTTTAGTGGTTATCATGTTCCCCCAACATGCACAAGGTCCCTGGTTGGAAACTGGGTGGAAACAGCTTCACTTTTGGGCTTCCCTGTGGCTCAGCTGGTAAAGAATCTGTGTTCTGTGTGGGAGACCTGGGTTCGATCCCTGGGTTGGGAAGATCCCCTGGAGAAGGGAACTGCTACCCACTCCAGTGTTCTGGCCCAGAGAATTCCATGGACTGTATAGTCCATGGGGTCGCAAAGAGTCGGACACAACTGAGCAATAGACTTGATAGCAGCAGTTCAAAGACAGTGAAGAAAATTAAATGGACACGTTTGCATAAACAGCAGAAACTATGAGCATAAAGTGAACTCTAATTGCCAAGGGTCAAATAATTTATGAGAAAGTCAAATTATTTCTGAAGTAACATAAATAAATAGATGATTAGGTTGGTACATAAAAGAGACATTGGTAGTAAATAAAGAATGACCAGCTAGACAAATAAGAGAAAAAAAAAAAAAAAAAACTGACCAGCAAGACAAAAAGAAATAGAGAGGGTAGAAGGAATTCTAAGTGAAAAGAGAGAGGGATGGAGGGAGGAACTAGAGGCTTAAGGGAAGAGGAGTCATATTGGGAGGATTTTTGCTTTGCATACCTTCTATTATAATTTTTAAAATCTCTTCAATAAACTAAGTGTGTATAATAAAGGATAATAACGTGGAGGATTTTCTCCAGCTCAAGAGCTATAAAGGTAGATAATCAAACTTCTTTCTGTACCTTGGGGAAATGAATTCCAGAATAGACATGTTGAATTATGAACTATAAAAATGAAAAAAGAATCAAGTTAGATAGACAGCCACTATTTACAGAGTTTAGATATTCGCATCAAAAAATTAAAAAAAAAAATGTAAGGATCCTGGACAGTAAACAAACTTAGAGAACTTTGACCCAAGATGCACTTTTTCTTCTGGGCCAATCTGGGATTACAAGGAAATTATTTACCCTAATTTTTGTCCTTTCCTCAATATAACATGATAACTCTTTCACAAAATCAACATTTGCCAAGAAAGATCAGATAATCCAAAAAGTATATAGATGAGAGTAACCGAGATATTGCAAAGTGAAAACAACTCTGAATTCCAACAGCTGGAAATATGGGCAGTGCTGTCTATAGAGAAAGTTTACAGTGTCTAATCTTTTAAATGTATAATTATCTGAAGGACCATGTGACATCTGTATACATTTAAATTCTTGTTTACTATTAAGAATCACTTTCTATACTACTATGGACTTCCCCTGGTGGCTCAGATGGTAAAGAATCTATCTGTAGTGCAGGAGACCTGAATTCAATCCCTGGGTTAGGAAGATCCTCTGGAGAAGGGAAAGGCTACCCACTTTAGCATTCTTGCCTGGAGAATTCCATGCACAGAGGAGTCTAGCGGGTCACAAAGAGTTGGAAATGACTGAGCAAGTAGCACTCTCTTTATCACTATAGTCATACCTGGCTATTATATAAGATCTCAAGGGGAGGGATCTAAACATAGTTATCTTAATTAGGTCAATTTTAATTTATATGATTTTTTTTTTTGCAAAAGATATAGTCACTCAAATTATGAGAAATACTTGCAATTCAGCTGCCACCATAAACTACACACACACACACACATACACATGGACAATCTCTATTTGAATGTGTGTAATAAAATTGAGCTTACTCCAGCAGATAGTCCAAAAAAAATTTTAAAACTCAAATGCATTTCCAATGTATTCCTGAAAATTAAAAATCAGTAACTACCATAAGAGAAATACAGGTGAATGAATAAAATGCACAGAAAAGTTATATATTAGTAATATAAAAGTTACATATTAGTAATATAAAAGATATATATCTATAGGCATATATATGAACATTTTCATAATTTACAAAATTTTATATATAATTTACATGCATAAATCTTTTTATTTAAAATCACCAATAAACAACATTTTAATCTTTCTCTTTTCCCTTCAACTGAGTGTGAAATCTCTGACTGAATAAACAACTTGACTACTGATTTTAAAATTTTATATAATTCAAATTGATTTAGAAATAAAGATGGTTGAAATCTGCATATTCATTTTGGCTGACAAATCTGAAAGCTCTTTCGATCTTTTTTTAAACCTAGACTAAGCTGTTTAACAACTTAATCTTAAAGATATTAGGCAAGCAATCATTTTCTGCCAAAATATACCTTCAAAGGAACAGTCACTGTGAAAGTTACATATGTGTGAGGAAAAAAGATTTAGGTAACACATGAAATTATCTGTTCCCAAAGTATTGGATTTTAGCAATGTTTCACAAAGGTTACCAGAACTTAATGTTAAGAACGTGATTTTAACACTGTGATGTCACTACATCATTAAGAGTGCACAGCCGTTTCAAGATGGGTAAGAGGTGCCAACAGTCGCTACGTATGAGACTAAAATTTGAAGTCAAAACACTATTTAAGCCAGCAAGGATTATTAAAGATTAAGGGGCATCTGTTGAATATAGTTATTTTGGGAAAAGTCAGAGGAAAAAAATCCTTGCGTGTTGTGACTCTAGTGTTCACCCCAAAGGAAACATGTTGAGGAACCAGTCCATAAAATTCCTTACTTCAGAATAAACCTATCTCTTTATTTGAATCTGTATCACTCTCAAGAAGTAAATTATAAGATAAGCTTATTTTCCCTCTCTTCAAAGCATTATACCACACCACCCAAAGAGAGATATTAGCAACTAATTTGTTAACAC